ATGACACAATGGTCATTTTGCCAACTGAGAAGCATTTTTGAATTGCATGACAGTCATGACTTATAAAAAAGACCAATTAGAAAAATGTCTATGAATTGTAGCCTCTTTTCTGGCATTTAGCTGCTAACTGTAAATTTCAAGAATTCTTGCAGTCAGCCTTGTGATTTTTTTTGTGGCAATATATAAAACTTGTCATTTTTATTATTGCCTGCCACAGAAAAGTGAAAGTGGATAATTATATTGTATTAGTGTTAGTAAAATACCTGCTAGAAAAACTGTCTCATAAACCACAAAATAACTTTTTATGAAACTTACAGCAAGTAATTATTAAATACACATTTACAAATGATTATTATTTGGTGTAAATACCATTTAAGATGGCAGTCACAGTCAATTGAGATTTAAAATTCCTAAATTTAAGGTTTATAGTCTGTTATCTCTCTAAGTTTTCTTGTAACAACATTCCCATTTCAGCAGCTCACTCCAAACCATATCAGAGGAAATCTCTCAGCAAACTGGGATAACAAGAATTTATCACCTGAGCTCAAACAGCTGGAAAACGTTTGATCAGGAAATATAACCATAACCAGTGGTTGAGAGATTTCACAGACTGGACAAGCCTAATCTTCAGGCGTCCACCACAAATCACTGGACCTAGCCTAGGCTTCACCACCATCCACCAGACCAAGGTACTAGTTAAGCTTTCTCACTAGGCCAGGATCAGGTTGGAAGGTTTTCACATTGGTGGTTAATCTATTTGTGACCACACATTTTTCCTCCAAAAGGATAGAGGCACGTGCATTTCTTATTAAAAATCATGTATTAATTTTCCTCCCACCCATTTGTTAATGGCCTTGATCAGGGGGATCTGGATGCCAGTAGTTTGTTTTGTATTCTGGTCTTACAAAAAAATCCAGTCTTACTGTTTCTTCTAACAAGTGGTCTATTTCTATTTTCTTTACATGTAAAAAAAAAATCATACCACTCATACTGACACGATGAAGCACAGGTTTCTGATCATTTTATTGCTTCTGATTTCTGGTAATGTTGAATCTAATCCTGGTCCAGTTTCAGTGCACAGAACTCAATATGATTTTAAATCTGGGAGTTTTCTAACAGCAAATAACATTTAACATTTTGTCAAATTTTCAATCTGGATTTAGGAAATGGTACAGCACTACAACAGCTGCTTTAAAATGTTAATGATGTTATTGGCTTTTTAGATAACAGACAACGTTGTGCAGCACTTTATGGACCTGTCAAAAGCCTTCGACACTGCTGATCAAAATATGACGCAAAGGCTTTTTAATATGTGACTATCAAAACAGTCAGGTGATTGGTTTGAAAATTACTTGACAAACAGATCTCAGTGTGTTCAAGTTCAAGATCTTACCTCCACCTCAATCAAAATAACTTAAAGGGGTGCCTCAAGGATGGGTTTTGAGTCCACTACTTTTTTATTTATATTAACTGTTTGGATTACAATATACTACATGCAACACTTCATTTTTATGCTGACGACGCCGTTGTATATTGTGCTTCTTCAACACCAAGCAAAGCACTCAGCCTTTTACAATCAGCCTTCAATATTGTCCAGAGCAATTTATATAACCTAAAACTTGTTTTACATTCCTCACTACACTACAGACACCACAGCACGCAGCTTGGGTGTGAGGTTTCTCCTTGGGATGGACTAGCCTCTGTTAAGAGATTTGAAATGTTGTGAGTTGAAGAAAATCCTTCCGATGTGAGCTTCTGAAACGTTTCTACAATTTTTTTTGTTTGTTTTTTTGAACCTGTCCAGAGGACCAGACTTAACTTTTTTAGATTTTTTTTTTTTAACCTGGATTATTGAGCATGCATCAGGATATCCTTCTGAGCTGTTCAGATACTCCAGCAACATATGGAATGGGAATGTTTTTGTGTTTGTTCTTTTTCTTGTTCTGTTCTGTGGTGTGTTTTTGGGATTACACTGCTGATTTGAAGCTTTATTTATACAGGTTAGTCTCATTGAGCCTCGAGGACTCATTTACAAGAAAGACCTGCATTATAGACCTTTATTTATTTATTTCCTTTTTTATTTGTATAGGAATCAGTTGTAAGGTACATTGAACACATAATCTGGTGGTCTTACTCAGACCAAAATAAACAAAGTCATGGTTATTTTGTGCATCATCTCTTATTGCTCTAGTTATTATGGCCCTATAGCTGATTTATGCTATAGTATCCTGTTTGTGTTTATGTTAATGTTTGTGTGGCAGAGGGGATTTGCTCTCAGTAGTTACATAACTTATATCTGGGACAGCAAACCGGAGGTCTGTTTCTGTCTTTTTGCAGTGTATTACCAGACAAAGCTGTGCTACAGTGCTCTTTACATCATTTAGAGGAAGTGTCGACAGTATGTGTGATTCCCTAAGAGCTGTCATAATTGTAACTCAAACGTTTGCCCCCTCTCTAACAGCAATTTATCAGCGTTTTCCTTCCATTACATCTTTCCTCTGAGCTGTTTTTGATGGTGCATGGCTGCCCCCACTGTTGAGGTGGGACCCAGAAGGTCTGTAGCAGGAAATAAAGGGCTGATGTTAGGAATAGAGAGAGTGGTGCATCTGTGTGTGTATGTGTTTGCTTCGTCAGGCTCATTGTTCTGCAGCCTACGGACCCATACAAGACACTTATTTAATGAGACGGCTCTGACTGCGTAATTGCAGGCTTCTCTGAGAGCTATAAAGGGAAATGTACTTTAGGGGGGGGGGGGGGTTTGTTACGATGACAAACAAAACTGGAACTTTGTGTGTTTGTGAGGCAAAGTCACACGTTGGTACTCATGCAGATGTGAGGACACAAACCTTAGTCAGGCTGCAGAAGGCAAAAGAGTGATTTTTTTTTTTGTTGCTAATTTGTGTGTGTAAGCAAAATATCTATTAAGACATTTTACAGAAACGCACAGGAAGTAGTCGTTGGATGTGCCTCTACTATCCATATTCGCGGGGGTCACTGGTGCCCATGTCCAGCCATCACTGTGCGAGACATTGGACAGGTCTCCAGTCCATCACATGGACACACAGAGACAAACAAGACGAACAACCATTCACTCTCTCACTCTCACCTAGAGACAATTTCTACTCGTACATCCTAATTGAAGATGGCCGCCACAGCTAATTGAAATTAGCCAAACTGAAATGAGTCCAAACTCACCTAATTTAAGAGATACTGAGCTAAAATTTGGTGTGGTAACAGATGAGCATCATCCTCAACACATACTCTGAGAGCTAACACATCATCGTATGTGAACTGAGCATATTGTCATTTTGAAGTTTTGACCTAAATGGCCACGACTTCAACCTTTCTCATTATGAAATAATCTTAGTTTAAAACTCGGCATGCAAGGCACGGGGCAATATGCAATGATTCACGGATTGCCATCCGTCCGTCCGGCCATCAAGCCATCCATAGATAATTTTTACCCATTTCCTTTTCGGGTCATGGGGGGGGGTTTACTGGTGCCCATATCCAGAGATTTGAACCCAACACGTGCTTTCAATGTGTCAATGCTGAGTCAGCGATCACTGTTCTTCTGTTTATTGTTTCAGATATTTCTTGAACTGTACTTTTAACTTTTACAAATTCATGAAAAACTCTTGAAACCATACTTTTTTTATTTAACGGTTGTTTAGCAATTTAGAACTTTTAGCTAATGTTTTACTTGTTTTAGCTTATTTTATCTATTGTCTTGCTCATTTGGGCTTTTATCTTTTGTTTTGCTAATTTGTGCTTTGAGCTATTGTTCAGCTAGTTTTAACTTCTGGCTAATGCTTTGCTAGTATAGACCATTTTGCTATTTTTTTCCCCTTTATCTTAAATAGATAAAAAGACAAAATAGCTATTTGCTCTTTTTAACTTAGCTGTGGTTTGACAGTTTTGACTAAAAGCTATTGAAAATCCATTTTAGGGGTTTGTCGAACTGCTTTGCTAAATTTAACCTTACCTTTCTGCTACTTTTAGCAACTAATTTAGCTGCTTTTAGGATTTACAGTATTTAGCAAACTTTAGCTTGGTTTTGATCGAACAATTCAGTCTAAACTTCAACAATTTTCAGCAGTCAATAAATAGCACTCAGTATTTACACAGCATGTCTGCTGTTTTGTTTAAATTCCATCTGGTAACACTGAATGGGATCATAGTCTTGTGAATATTTTTCTTAGTCTTCGAGAACTTTTTTTTTATGACATATGGAAAATAAATATCAGCAGTTTAAATAAAAGAAAAAATGTGTTCAGCCTTAAAAAGAAACTGCATTCATAATAGATTCTTTGTATTCCCAGCTTATTTTTTTTTTCTCCAGTCCTGTTTCTGTGCAGCAGATGACTCTGGTCTGGGATATGTGGTTCAGTCGTGCTGGGATTTCTGAATCACATGATTTATTTAGGATGTGTCGAGGTCTTTCAGAGTGCTTCACATCCCGTTCTCTAACCAGACATCCTTTAGCTTCTTAAATTACTCTCGCTCTCCGTCCCTCTCCCTTCTGTTATCACCCCCCCCCCCCCTTCATTGCGGATCTTTTTGCAAATTAAAAGAAACAAACCAGTCAAAGCTGACGGCTAAATTCAGAACAAGAGAATGAAAGAGTTGGACTGATGCTGGCCTACTTCACACTTCACCCTTTGAGCTTGTTATCGCCTGCCGCCAAAAGACGAAAGACGGGCAACAACATTTTCTTCCTCACCTTTCTGGTTTTTAGTGCTATCAGCTCAACGGCTTGTCATTTCTCATGTCACAGGAAAATGTGGAAGAATGTACGACCCCACCTGTACTCAGGTGAAGTTGGGTGATGATGCAATCTAGCTGCTGGGTGAAACTGAAGCCATGAGATAGCAATCAGATCAGAGGCAGTCACACCCAGAGTTTGAGCTGTTACTAAAGCATAGCTATTAGCGTGTGTTCGGTGGGATCTGTTGTGTTTTGCATGTGTTAAAAAAATAACTCTTTTCTGCACCTAACAGTATCTGGAGAGGCCCCAATGTGAATTGTGTGGACAGCACTGGATACACGCCTCTGCACCACGCCGCCCTCAACGGACACAGGTACATCTTTTTGCTGTCTGGAACTTTTATATATATATTTTGTCTTCCAACAGAATTTGTTCAACAGTGAAGTGTGCACACTTATTCCTGTGCTTTTTAGTTATCTGCTCATTGCACATATTTACTAAGTGAGGGAATCCATAAAGCAGAGCGAAGGATTTTGTGGTCTGTTTCTCCCAGAATAACACACTTTTCCTCATATTATCAACTGATATTAAATAAAATTAGAAATAAATAGATGCCAACCAGTTTACTACGACAACATCACATCTGACTAACCTTTGTGCATCCTTAATCTTTTGATCAATAAACCATTTCTAATTTCAAGGCTTTTCACAGTCATTTGTCTGTCTATTAAAATTCGTCGTCTCTGTAATCTGTGTATTGTTTGCTATAAATTGCTTTTTGCAGAGAAATTGAATCATTTGATCGCGTCTTAAATTTTTCGGTTTGCTTATATATTTGCTCGAAACAAAACAGTCCTCTAAAAGCACTTGACTGATCTAATCAGAGTATACTCATGGAACAAATAAGGTCCACAATCTTTCAGTTCTCATGTGTTTCAGGACATAACGAAAATTATTTGGACTTACCAGGTTCTAAGAATGTTCAAATCTAACCTCAGCTGTATAAAAATAACAGATTCTCCATCCATCCATCCATTCATCCATCCGTCCAATCATCCATCCATCCATCCATCCATCCATCCATCCAATCATCCATCCAATCATCCAATCATCCATCCATCCATCCAATCATCCAATCATCCATCCATCCAATCATCCATCCAATCATCCAGCCATCCAATCATCCAATCATCCAATCATCCATCCAATCATCCAATCATCCATCCAATCATCCATCCATCCAATCATCCATCCATCCATCCATCCATCCATCCAATCATCCATCCATCCATCCATCCATCCATCATCTTTACCCGTTTTTTCCTTTTCGGGTCCCGGGGGTCACTGGTGTCCATGTCCGGCCATCACTGTGTAAGAGGCGGGGACACCTTGGACAGGTCTCCAGTTCATCACAGACAGATTCTACAGTGTCATTATTTATTAATTTACAAACAACAACAACAACAACAAAAGAAACCAAAATGGAAAAGCTGTTTGTGGGAAAAACTAAATCCATCCTCAAGATCATTGCCACTTGCCTTAGGAGTGGACCTCTCAGCAAATTCACCCCAAGGTCAGACCGTGCTGTACTTTTAGAAAACCCCAAATCCCCGTATCAGACTCTGCAGGCCCAGTTAGCAGGTTAAGGGTTTAAATTTAGGATGATACCAAAGTAGTTTAGAGTCAGATAGGAGGACATCTGTCTGACAAGGGAAGCTTGGACCAGACTGGGTCATGATGCAACAAAACAACAATCCAAACACAGCAACAAATCTACAACAGAGCAGCTAACAAAGAAAATAATCGAAAGGTTTCAGTGGTCCAAAGCTCAGAGCTCAGCCTGATTAAAATGCTGTGACTGGACCTAAAGAGAGCTGTGCAGAGACAAATATCTGCAAACTAAAGCACTGTTGGATAAAGTGAGCTAAATTCTTCCACAACAATGTGAGAGACTGATAGTCATTTAGAACTGGCTACGTCAAATTATGTTGCCAAAGGTGGTTCTACATGCTGCTGGACACTTTTGGCTTTAGTTTTGTTTATTAAATTATGACATGGTAGTGTGGTCGTGTGTTGTGTGGTGCTTTACACTTAAGTTAAGTTTAAATAATTTCAGAATTTGGTTAAACCCAAATGTTTTTTTCAAGCCTCAAAAGAGCATGAACTCTATCTGTAGGTTGATCCAGATGACTAATTTTGGTAAAAATTTTAATGTTGGTTCCAACTTTGGCAACGTCACATTTCTTTCTGGGAACAATAAAATGCTACAGGTTACCGAACAAAGAAACACGTTTTAATAGATCCATCTAAAAATACTAATCTTTTTCACGAGCAGATCAGGGCTCCTTGCCCTATCCATTTATTTTGTAGACCTCAAAACAGAGCGGTGCATTACATAACGGGACAAATGCTCATAAATTAATGCCGTCAAATCCTTTTGGTGAATTCAGCTCATAATCTGCAGATATCTGAAATCATGGATGTTGATGAAACACCCTGCTTCCTTTTTGTTGATCACACTCCATCCATGTGACATGAAGTTTCCTCTCTTAGGCTAAATCTATTGATCCTCTGTGTGTATTCATTAGCATGTTTCCTAATGATTCTGACTCATCCTGCGTCTTTGTTCACCCTCAGCGACATAGTGGAGGCGCTGCTACGGAACGAGGCCTTGACCAACATTGCCGACAACAAGGGCTGCTACCCTCTCCATCTGGCTGCGTGGAAGGGAGACGAGCACATCGTAAAGCTTCTCATTCACCAGGGACCCTCACACCCCAAGCTCAACGAGCAGGTCTGCTTCATGCCTTTGGTGCTCAAGTGGATCTGTTTCTTTTGGCCACTTCTACATTTAAACATGATGTCAGTGTTGACCAGACTTTGTCTTTTTCCATTTTGTCTTCAGGAGACGCATTAGTGCGTTGTGGCAGCAGCTTAGCAGTCTCAGTGTCACAGTGACAGTTAAGGTTTTAGTCAGTAATTATAATAAAACTGATTAATTTCATTCAGATCCTTTGAATCTAAATCTTTTTTTTTTTTTTTTTTTTGGAGCATGGCACAATCTGTATTCAGAGGTGGACCGGTAAAAAGAAGAATGCAATAGTGCTTTAAGCTCCGTGCACCATGAGGCTGACTTCTCCTTTGACAATGTGATACTTGAAGCCCTTTGACGCTGTGCTAGTGTGACAAGCTCTCATTTCCTCTAACCATTTTAACAGTTTTAACTCTCATCTCTGATATTAAGTTAGGGTGCCTAATGCACAGACAGCCATTCAACCATCTCTGGCCTGCTCTGTTTATTTTTTAATGAGGAGAAATGACCCATTCTGAGCTCTTCAAATGCAACCATCACGTCTTTTATTGAACAACCGCAACCACATGACTCATTTTGTGTCATTTCTCCCTTCTTGTTCATGACATCTGATTGTTCATTAACTCATTTTTTATCTCTTTTTTCTTTAGTTCGACTCATTTATGATCATCACTTATTTGTTCATTGCTTGTCTGAACCAAAACCCATCGACCTATCTGCTCTTCCTCCCTTCCAGAGCTCTGTAGAGCATAAAGAGTTCAAACGCTGTGGGCCCTTTGACCCCTATATTAATGCCAAGGTGTGTACACAGTGCTGCTGAAAGCATTTCCTTCTGAAGCGTGTCTTTGCTTTTCTGCTGTGTTGGCTTGCTGTGCTTGCTGCTGCCGCTCGGGGGGTTCTTCTGCTGCAGAGATACGAGGAGGCTTTTAATTTCACTCGCTATCAGTTGATCTCTGTTCCCCCGTCTTCTTTCCATGTTTGAGTATGAGCTTCAGTTAAATGCAATGTTATGTTCAATGCAGGAGGCATGGCTGCTCTTGTAGAACCGGTCTGTTGATTGGGAATTATAGAACTTACACAAAAGCTACTGAAGATGATTTAAGTTATTTAATTTTCATGATCTAAAATAGGCTTGTTGACACAAATATATCATGTTGGGTCTTTTTAACAATACAAACAGCCTTCAGATATTTCCTTTGCATCATCGATCATGATTTCAAAATGTTTATACTGACGCTGGGTAGTATTTTTGAGCTGAGTGCTAGTCTGCAATGTTTGTTTGTAGTGAGAGTAGGGAGCAGGTGGAAGAGAGTCTGGAGACGTGGATGTTTGAAGAGGGAGAGTATTGAAGCAAGATGAGGAACAAAAACACAACCCTCAAATATAATTTGATTCTGGTATCTTATAAGTAATTTAAAACACAGGAAAGGAAAAAATAAGTTTTTAACACTGGTGCATTTTGAAACATGTTGGCTACCAATGGGAGAAAGGTGGAACAGTGAAGCTGCAAGGAGTAGAACTAAAGGTGCAAGAGTTTAAGGACCTGGTGTCAACACCTCTTCTTCGCCTCTTTTTAGTGGACAAAAGAGGTGAAGAAGGGAAGGCAGGCGGGGTGGAGTGGATGGAGATGAGTGTTGTGTGAGATTTGTGACAGAAGGATATCTGCAAGAGTGAAAGGGCAGGTTTACAAGAAAGAAGTGAAATGTTCTATACTGTATGTTTAGTAGAGGGTTGCACTAAAGAAAAGACTGGAGGAGCTGAAGATGGCAGAGATGAAAACATCAAGATTCATGCTCAATAATCCAGGTAAAAAATCCAACAATGGTCATTCAGGTCATCGGGACAATTCCTTTTTTTTGTTGAGAGACGTTTCGCCCTCCATCCGAAGGGCTTCATCAGTCTGAAGAGTCCCAAACAAAATGTTTTCCCCACTAAGAATTACACTCCTATTCAGAGTACATTCCTTTTCAGAGATGAAAACATCAGGATTTTCACTGAAGGGGGTAACAAATTGGACAGCATTAGAAAAATCAGAGATGGTTCAAGTTTGGAGACGAAGTTAAAGCTGAGATGGTTTGGACATGTATAGCTGAGAGACAGTGGACACTTTATTGAACAAAACATGTTGCTTGCAGGAAGTAGAGAAAGAGGAAGACAATCGAGAAGGTTTGCTAAAGCAGTGAAGGAAGATGTGCAGACTAGTTCAGATGGGACAAGATGGCGCAGATGATCCTCTCTGGTGGCTTCTAAAATGACCTGCAGAAAGAAGAAACTCTGGCAAACTTGACCATTTTAGAATACATACCATAACATTGCTGTTGGCATGAAACATTACTTGCACGTTACATTGTTGTTTTGGGCCTTTTAGCAACTAGCTAAGTGCAGCAGAATACTCTGTGACTGCTGTGACTACTGGAAGCAGCTCTTGTTACATTTTGCTGCACAGGGAAGTCACAGTTATACTCTTTCTACATGAAGTGACAGTTTCACTTTCACATTTAGTGCAATGAACAGTGCGGGAACATGCACGCTGTTTTGTGATCTGTTTTTTTTCCCCACTGATGAAGCCAAAAGCCCATTGAGGCCTGTAGCTTTTTTGTACTGTATATTGTCAACTTTTCCCTGGGACTAATCTTCTTAGCAGTCAAATACCATATTTTCCGGCGGATAAGTCGCAGGTTTTTTTTTGCAAAGATTTGTCAGTTCTGCGTCTTATACGCCGAAGCAACATATACTTTTTTTCAATATTCAAAACACAATTTTTGACTGACGCTTTAAATTTCAAAGAACTTCAACAGTGAGTCCTCCCATGCGCACTCGCTTCACTCAGCTGGTGCAAGAGGAGGAATGCTGGAGAGCTAGCAGCTCCGGCCACGATGGATGGATGGATGGCACCGCACCACCCAGGCGAAATGAAGCTGCTTTGACCATTAAATAAATGCATAATAAACTTGACGGGTCAGCGGTGACGCATAATAAATGCGACTTGTACGCCGAAGCGACTTATATATGTTTTTTCCCTCTTCGTGATGCTTTTTTTGACTGATGGGACTTATACTCTGGAGCGACTTATACACCGGAAATTACGGTACTAAAACTGCTACCATTGCGAGCCAGAGTGGGAACTCTCCCACAGTTGTTTTTTAATATATACATATATATTCAGTGCATCTGGAAATTATTCACAGAGCTTCACTTTTTCCACATTTTGTTTTGTTATAGCCTTATTCCAAATTGTATTAAATTAATCGTTTTCCTCAAAATTCTACACACAATACTCCTTTATGAGATGTGAAACAATATTTTTTTTGAGATTTTTGCTCATTTAGTAAAAATAAACAACTAAGAAATCACATTTTAGTAAGTATTCCCAGCCTTTGCTTAATACTTTGTTGATCCACCTGTTACAACCTGGCACAGACACAGCCACTGGGATGTAATTAAATATGAGCGACTCCACCTTCTGCACCACCCAAGCAGCCACAGAGTCAAGGGTATATGTTAGAACAGTGGTTTTATTTACAGTAGTGAAATGTATGGACTTTTTGGAGTCTTACCAACTTCAGGGTGAGCCCAGGCCAAAACATCAAGCAAAACAATCTATCACCATTATTTTTCTTGTACCTGAGGAAAAATAAAATTAACCAAAACACAGGTCTCTTCCTTCACCTAAGCTAACGAAAAACAGAAGGGTCTTAAAAATAAAGTGGCAGCTCACCTCTACAAATTCCTCACAAAACTATTTACAACTACTTGATCTGATGTTAACGAGTGACAGAAGGTCAGCTGTGGCTGGTTGGGAAGCGCAGAGTGAGTGGAAGCTGATGTCATCACTTCCACAGCTCGTTTAGCATCTCTCTTCAGGCAGCCTAATCCTCGTTTAGCTCCTCGCTGTCGTCCTCCAATCACAGCAATGCATCTGTACACTAATTCAATCACAATTGACAAGATAGTTTGTCCCATTCTTCTTTGCAGAAATTCTCTAGTTCCATCAGGTTGGATAGGAGACGTCTGTGCATCCATTTTCAGATATCTCCAGAAATGTTCAATCAGATTCAAGTCTGGACTCTCTTCCAGGACATTCACAGAGTGATCCTAAAGCCACTCCTTTTAGAGCTTGGCCATCTTGGCCATGTGTTTTGGGTCGTTTTGCTGAAAAATGAACTGTCACCCCAGTCTGAGGTCAAGAGCGCTCTGGAGCAGGTTTTCATGCAGGATGTCTCTGTACATTGTTGTACGATATTCATCTTTCACTCTATCCTGACTAATCTGTCAGTTCCTGCTGCTGAGAAACATCCCCATAGCATGATGCTGCCACCACCATTATTCACTGTAGCAATGCTATTGGACCGGTTTCCTCCGAACATGATGCCTGGCAGTCACACTAGAGTTGCATTCAGGCCCAAAAAGATTTGAGCTGAGGGAGAGTTCAATCATTGTCTCGTCAGACCAGAGAATCTTGTTTCCTATGGTCTGAGAGTCCTGGTTCCTTTTGGCAAACTCCAGACAGACTGCTATGTGCCTTTTTATTAAGGAATGGCTTTCATCTGGCTACTCCACCATACAGTCCTGATTGGTAGATTGCTGCAGAGATGGTTGCCCTCATGGAAGGTTCTCCTCTCTCCACAGAGGAACGCTGAAGCTCTGACATAGTGACCACCAGGTTCTTGGTTGGTTCCACCTCCCTGACTAAAGTCCTTCTCCCTGATTGCTCAGTTTAAACAGTCGGTCAGCTCTAGGAAGAGTCCTAGTGGTTCCATACTTCTTCCATTTATGAATGATGGAGGTCACTGAGCTCACTGGGACCTTCAGATGAAATTTTTCTGTATCCTTCCCCAGATTTGAGCCTCAACACAATCCTGTCTCGGAGGTCTACAGACGATTCCTTTGACTTCATGCTTGGTGTTTGCTCCCTGACATCCACTCTCAACTGTGGGACCTTTTATAGGCAGGTGTCTGCCTTTCTAAATCAGGTCCAATCAGCTGGTTTACCACAGGTGGACTTCGTTTAATTTGTAGAAACATCTCAAGGATGATCAGTGGAAACAGGATGCATCTGAGCTCAATTTTGAACTTCATGGCAAAGGCTGAGAATACTTACGTTAATGTGATTCTTAGTTTAGATTTTTAATAAATTAACAATATTTTTTCATATTGTCATAGTGGAGAATTGTGTGTAGAATTTTGAGGAAAGAAATTAATTTAATACAATTTGGAATAAATCTGTAACATAAAATGTGGAAAAAGTGAAGCGCTGTGAATACTTTCCAGATGCACTGTATGTGTATATATACAGTATATATATATATATATATTTTTTTTTTTTTTTTTTTTTTTCTTGTGATGCATTATCCAACAAAAGAGATTGAAAATGATGTCTTAACACCACGCAGATTCTTTAGGTGCTCCTACCTGGTCGTGAGCATGAATATTTAATCTTCTGTTGTAAATAAATCAGGAAAGAGAGTGTGATGATGCTGTGGCTGGCTGTAGTTTATGGCATCATGTGATGGAGTGGGCGGGACTCATCCTTCCTCGCCTCACATCACACTCCAGGACCGGAGCGACAAATCAAGAGCAGGAGGAGGGGGGAGAGGAGGCTGGGAGGTTTCCAGTGTACCAGTCTCTTTGCATCAGCTTCAAAGCGAGATTGCCATGCTGTGCCTGTCTGGGTGAGTGTGTGTGTGTGTGTGTGTGTGTGTGTGTGTGTGTGTGTGTGTGTGTGTGTGTGTGTGTGTGTGTGTGTGTGAGGGGGAGGGGGCGTTGCAAGTTTCCCACCTCTCAGCTCCCCCCCCCCCC